CTTCCTGATCAACTTATGGAGAGTCATCCTGGCTCAATAATGATGTTAATCACGTCCTTGTTTGTTAACATAGACTTGAGGGGGAGGGAAAAGTCTGTGAATTAGATATCCCCTTGGAGATATTTATGGCAGTGATAGGCTTGCGATCCAGGGAACTGAGGCTGCCTTCCCCTTCCTTGGATCAAACCCGAGTGCATCCCATTCCCCAAGTACTTATGACCCACCGTAGCTTCACCCCCCCCCCATGAATGTAATAATTCAATACCAGTTTATATTTATATTTTTGGGTCGACATTTTGTTTATATATATATATATATATATATATATATATATATATATATATATATATATATATATATATATATATATATATATATATATATATATATATATACCGTTTATATATACCTTTAACCTCCTTAATGGGGATTAATGAAATTAATGATGGGTAGGCCTTTAGTTTAACTATTACTGTATTACCCCCATTACGTCATTGCCTCGTTATAACGGTCAGATCAATACACACATCCTTGGATGCTGGTAAAGAACTCTTGATCCGAGGAGGTAGAGCTTCCCTCCTCTTAGATCAAACCTGATTACCTCTCATATGCTGCTATGTATGATAATTTATGTTACTTTATGTATATGTACCTATACCTGAATAAACTTACTAACGGGTTTAATATTTTCCAATTTGAAATAAATAATTTTGACTTTTTTTTTGGGGGGGGGGTTGAGGTTATCCTAGGTAACTTATACTATGATCATTGTACTTATGTGTATAATTATGTGCCTATTTGAACCATTACACAAATTTATAATGAATAATTCTTCAATTTTGACTGGTGAAGGGTTCTTGATCCAGTGGCAGTGCTGTGTGACCCTGGTGGGTTTAGCGCTTAGTTTTGATTATATTAATCTTGATCCAGTGAATTGGAGCGCTCCCCCATGAAATTAATAAATGAAATAATCGTAAAATCACATAAATTTTCTTAATAAATCATATATGGCACCGAACCAGAGCACAGCCAACACTAGGCTTGGTTTTGTCGTCTTTTCTCTACCAGTCATTTAAATTCTTTTCATGATCTTTCATCTTTGGTTTATTAGTAAAATTAGTATACTATTTTTGTATGTGTGAGAGTTATTCTAACTTTACTTAGCATACCCACAGAATTAACCTCCCACTCCCAAGAGTCTGCTCATTTTGTTGGAGCCACAATAGACATGTGGCTCCTGTATAATGGATGTTTTTCCTGTAATTCTTTGTCACTCGAGACAGTTTTCCTGTCACTGCATTATGCAGGATATTTTTTTTTCTTGTATACAGCATCACTTGGATGTCTTTCCTGTCATGCTCCATTATATTAGATAAGTTGATAATGTGATGTAATCAGTTAGCTTATTTTCTTCCTTCCCTACCTACTACTTATTTCATTCTTTCCCTGCAGCAAGGGATGCCGCCTCTCAGGCCCGTATTAGCCCTGAAGGCAAGGTGTGCCCAGGTTCTGGCCTCCACCCTGGCTGCCGCTTTCGTCAGAGTGGCTGGAGGCGGCATCTGTGGTGCTGCCAAGAGTCTTGTTGGGCGGCCCAAGAAATCAGGAGGCTCCAGGAAACCTGTGAGATTATAAATATACTTCATAACTAATTCATAAATTGGAGATGTAACTTAGACGATGTTTCGGTCCTTCCTGGACTTTTGTCAAAATGAACAAAAACGTCATTTTTTTTTTTATCTCCAGTTTGTGGCGTAGTTGTGTATTGTTCCAACCGTGTGAATGTAGATTAGTTGAAAGTTGTCCTAGTCAAGGTATTGTAATTTGTATTCTTCATTAGTACAGTTTATTACGCAGTTTATAAACTTATTCTCACTGGGATATAAAATAGAGGGATTCTTTGCGTTTGGGTATTCAGATAGTTGTGTGTATAATATATATATATATATATATATATATATATATATATATATATATATATATATATATATATATATATATATTTCATACTAATAATCTAATATGGCTTCTACTACTTATTACAAGCATGAGCTTTAAAACCGCAAGAATAATATTAAGTGCATATGTGGGAAATTTCCTGCAGGGGGTTTACAGGGTATTACCTGAGTTATTTACTGCAAGTAATTTGGGTGAGGTAAGTGGGACTCAGTCACAGTAGGTCGCCGAACTGTCACTCCCTCGATGCCCACTCCCTACCACTCTCACAAAAAAAGGCTAGACCTAACATTAAATTAATAAGTACAGTATTAAACATTAATACCAATAATGCTAAATTATGAAATAATGTAGAATGTATATCATTTTAGGACCTGACTGTTAGAAATGGTTAATGGGAATATTTTTACAGAGACTAGGGAAGGTTTTCTCCTAACCATATCATTAGAACAATAAATTTTATACAAATTAGCTTACCATTTGTCACAGGAAGACACTTAATTCTGATGGAACACATCCTAACATTACCCTCACAGCTAGAATTTACGATAGCCAACGCAAAAACTACTGTACATTATGGATAAGCGTCACTTAGCTAAGACGTGCTCCTAGCAGAATTGGTGTCCTCTATTTTTCCGTCCTTGTTGCCGAATTGTAAGGGTGTTCCACACTATCCCAATTTTTTCAGTGGGAACGTGTCACCAATTTCTAAATTACAGATTGAAGCTGATATACACCAATTGATCTTCGAGGACACCTAATTACATTACACAATTCAGACCAGTTTTCACACGTTAAATTCATAATGGCGTCTCCTCTGCGGCGTCACTCAAGTTTAATGTGTTTATTATGCACCCCATACCCATCCTGTGGGCGGTAGTCAAAAGATTACAGTGGTACATAATGGGTCCAGGGACTGGACTCCAAAGTTTTGATAGCTGAGCAAGTTACAGAGGTAATGAACTCACAATTACAAAGGTAATGAACTCACAATTTACAAAGGTAATGAACTCCAGGTAGGTCTGGTCACAATCATGACAAGTTACAAAGGTATTTACAGATTACAGAGGTACGTAATGGGTCCAGGGACTGGGCCCCCAAAGTTTTGATACCTGAACTAGGTACAAAGGTAATGAACTCACAAGTTACAAAGGTAATGAATCCTGTAAGAATGGTTACTTACGTTTATACATGGCTACAGGCTGTTCTTCCTCCCCTTCACTTAAAATTTCTCGAAGGGTCCAAATAGCATCACATTTTAAGATGTAATTATTATTTATTCATTTACATGTTCTACATTTAGAAAAATTATGTAAAAATTTTCCACAGTATAGTTAAAATTCTTATTTTGTTTATAGATGTAAGAGGTATTCACGGAAATAATGTTTTTAACCTGATAGGTGGCAAGAGTCGCTGAGGGTATCTTAGGCAGCAACCCGACCGCTCAGATTCTCAAGGTGCAGCAGTACGTGGGGCAGGGCGTGCCCAAGGACCGTCGGCAGGAGCTGCTTCACCAGGTGCTTCTGCTGGTGACGCAGATGATGACCCAGCTGAATCGGAAAAAGAAAACCAAGAACTCGAGCTTCGACCTGACGGTTCAGAAGCTTGGACAAGCGCTGAGCTACGCCCTAGGTACTCTACTCGATTCCACGGTCACTAAATTAGATTTGAGACCACTTATTCACCACACTATTAAATGGGTTTCCACGTGCAAGCTTAATAATCGTGATCCGAAGGAAACGAATGCAATTGACGCAACGAAAATAGAGAACATACTTATCAAACTGTTCGGCGAAAATGTGCGAAAGCTGGATAGTCTCGTGTCGATACAGTGGCCCCACTTGGTGTCTGGAGAAGTCATAAAGATAATTGGCAGTCATTGCAGGAATCTTCGTCGTCTGGAATTAGCGTGTAAGTGTGACGCCACTGCCGCTATGAACGACGTGAAGGAGGACCCAGCTGTGGCCAGGCTGGAGAGAGAACTCATGAATTCTCTTGGAGCCCTGTATGACCGAGCACCCGGAGATTTCTCAGGTACGAAGCCTGGGGGTTGTCCTCACTTACAGGCACTGGTGCTACCCAGGCTAGACGACGAAGAAGGAACCCTGGCGTCACATGTGGCACGCGCGCTCTGCTCTCTAAGGGAACTCGAAGTCATCTCCGGCGCCCCGATGCTAGTGAGCCTTGGCATGTTGAAAAATCAGAGACATCCTCCACAGAAGCTGAATTTAAAGCACTTAAGCGATATTGATACGTACAATAGGCGACCCATGCCAGATTTAACGTATTTAACAAAACTTTTACCACATCTCAGTAACATCGAGCTTATTGTCTCTCAAACAATCACTAAAGCAGTAACCGAAAACTTTCTCAGTGTCAAATCATTAAAAATTGCACAGGCCGACTTTCACCTCAGTGTTCGCCGCTTCAAGTACCTGGAAACTCTCGATATCAACCTGGAATTCCAAGTTGCTTGGCCTTTACTGTTTACCCTAAGCCGCGGCCGAGTACAGATTAAAGACCTTACACTCCGTCACTCAACTTTCCAAGTTGCGCAAGAGTACGAAGGCTCTCTGAAGTTCCCTACACTCAAATCTTTCACTCTTGTTCGTTCTAGTTTCATCGAGTACAACGCGTTCAAAAACCTTGTCATGGGCGCCCCCAACCTTGTCAACCTCTTCGTCACGCTCTCAGACGACAGGAATTATATGGTAGATGAGTTTCGCGATGATTTGATCATGAGTGTGGCTCCTCTCCTCTCTAATCTTGAGAGCTTCACGGCTGAGTGCCAGTATAAACATAATCTTTACAACCAACTTAACTGCATTTTAACCATCGATTCTGTCAACGTCTTGTGCGCCAACTGTCCCTTTCTTAAGTTCCTCGGTCACCTGGATGTTTGGGACCTCGATGATAAAGATGTTAATGAGTTAAACGACCGTGTGAGGGTTAATAACTGGGACTTGCAGGTGGTGTAAACGTGTCTTCTTTGATTTTGTTATATTCGCCTTTGGTGGTCTTTCAGCGCTGATGTTAGGTTAGGTTAGGTAAGGTTTGTCAGGAAGTAGGACAGGTGTTTCCTGACGCGGGTCTTAGTCATATGATGACCTGCAACTGGAGCTTTTGGTCATCTGACCGAGGCCTTCTACAGGCTTACCGGTCCAACCCTTTAAAAATTATGGAATTAGATTCTTTTTAGTGCGTATTAATAGCGCTAACGTGTTTGTAAACTTTCCAGTAAGACAAAAGTAGAACGAAACTTTTCGCTCAAGCTAAAGCTTTTAAAAGCTGAAGCTTGAGACACTTATGCAACATATGGGAATCTTTATTGAGGAAACGTTTCGCCACACAGTAGCTTCATCAGTCCAATACAAAGCAGAAAGGTGTAAAGCAGGAGGAGTTGAGGTAATCAGTCCCTAAGTCTGTCGGGTTTTTAACCATTTATCACTTTTAAAAGCTCCTTGCGCGAGACCTCGTTATTATAGTGCCATACCATCCTTGTCTTTTAGTTTCTTATCGTGTCTATACTTTGAACCTTCCTAGTTACTGCTTATAAATTGTTTGTGGAGTAATCGTAAACTAGGTGGGAAAACTGTATACCTAAACTAAAAGAAAATGTTATTACTTAAGAATAATGACATTGTTGCTTGCATGTAGGTATATGATCATAGATGCGACTCTAGTTCTGATCATTCGTGTAGTTCTCAACAGATGGTGTTACAAGTACTTCAAGTTTGTGGTCACCTTTTTTAGTCAGGCAATGTACACCTCTGTACATTTAGAGAGGTGAACTTGTACACATGCGTACTGATTATACCTTGTTCTTTAACACTATAATTTGCCTAGTAAATGCACACGTAGGGTTAAGTCCCTGGACTCATTATGTGACTATTAATTTTTAATTCAATAAAATGCAATGTATAATTGACAAAAGATTAATTTACTTTTTTTTTATAATTTATGATTATACTATTACTAATAATGATTTTTTTTATTGCAATTTGGTATAACATTTGTAATAATTTAACGCCTTGAATATAAAATTGTTAACTGAATTTACTTAAAATGGCGTGAAATTATTTGTTTTATTACAATTAAAAATTATAAGATAATAATTTACATAAACCTGCTAAGTTCATTGAACTATCCCAGCAGAAAAAAAAGTAATTTACACATGTTACTACTTAAGACAACCGTAAAAAATCCGAACTTGTGTCAGTCACCTGAATAAACTTACACTAGGTACAGTTTATTAGAATTGTAAATGCCATATTACTAATTTTGTGAGCTTGTCTTGAAAATCAGCTTCAATCGCCATGAGAGAAAATGGATCAGGGATGCACCTTATAGGATGTCTAATGTAAATTACCTACAGTACAAAAACTATCATTATTATTATTATATTAATGGGGAAATAATAAAATATTATATTCATGGGGAAACACTAATGGGTGATACTTTTATGGGTGATACTAGTACCTGGAGAACTGGTGGTACTCAAGTTGATGAGAAGAATTGGAGAATAGCTCCAGGGTAGTGTATTTGACGACCTGACTATTTTATGACTCACGAAATCGTAATGACACGATTGCAAACAAACCATACGACGGGCGGGGATAGAACCCGCGATCAGAGAGTCTCAAAACTCCAGACCGTGGCGACGGTCTGGAGTTTTGAGACTCTGATCGCGAGTTCTATCCCCACCAATGGTATGGCTTGACTATTTTATCCTAGGTTAATTTTCACAATGTTACTGTCAGCTCCAGGGTAGTGTATTCGACGATCTGACTGCATTTTATTCTAGGTTAATTTACACAATGTTACTTTATTATTATTATTAAAGATTCGCCGGTATTCTCCCGGCCCGGCTTTAAACCAATTAATATATATATATATATATATATATATATATATATATATATATATATATATTATATATATATATATATATATATATATATTCAACAAGTCGGCCGTCTCCCACCGAGGCAGGGTGACCCAAAAAAGAAAGAAAATCCCCAAAAAGAAAATACTTTCATCATCATTCAACACTTTCACCACACTCGCACATTATCACTGTTTTTGCAGAGGTGCTCAGAATACAACAGTCTAGAAGCATACACATATAAAGATACACAACATATCCCTCCAAACTGCCAATATCCCAAACCCCTCCTTTAAAGTGCAGGCATTGTACTTCCCATTTCCAGGACTCAAGTCCGACTATATGAAAATAACCGGTTTCCCTGAATCCCTTCACTAAATATTACCCTGCTCACACTCCAACAGATCGTCAGGTCCCAAGTACCATTCGTCTCCATTCACTCCTATCTAACACGCTCACGCACGCTTGCTGGAAGTCCAAGCCCCTTACCCACAAAACCTCCTTTACCCCCTCTCTCCAACCCTTTCGAGGACGACCCCTACCCCGCCTTCCTTCCCCTATAGATTTATATGCTTTCCATGTCATTCTACTTTGATCCATTCTCTCTAAATGACCAAACCACCTCAACAACCCCTCTTCTGCCCTCTGACTAATACTTTTATTAACTCCACATCTTCTCCTAATTTCCACACTCCGAATTTTCTGCATAATATTTACACCACACATTGCCCTTAAACAGGACATCTCCACTGCCTCCAACCGTCTCCTCGCTGCTGCATTTACCACCCAAGCTTCACACCCATATAAGAGTGTTGGTACTACTATACTTTCATACATTCCCTTCTTTGCCTCCATAGATAACGTTTTTTGACTCCACATATACCTCAACGCACCACTCACCTTTTTTCCCTCATCAATTCTATGATTAACCTCATCCTTCATAAATCCATATATATATATATAAATATATATATATATATATATATATATATATATATATATATATATATATATATATATATATATATATATATATATATATATATATATATATATATATGGGGAACAATGGGCTAGTAACCCCTTTTCCTGTAAAAATTACTAAAAGAATAATAAGAAGAAAATTGTCAAAGTGGGAAGTCTGAATGTGCGTGGATGTTGTGCAGATGATAAGAAAGAGATGATTGTGGATGTTTTGAATGAGAAGAAGCTGGATGTCCTGGCTTTAAGTGAAACAAAGCTGAAGGGGGTGGGAGAGTTTCAGTGGAGAGGAATAAATGGGATTAGGTCAGGGGTTTCAAATAGAGTTAGAGCTAAAGAAGGAGTAGCAATAATGTTGAAGGATAAGCTATGGCAGGAAAAGAGGGACTATAAATGTATTAATTCAAGGATTATGTGGAGTAAAATAAAGATTGGATGTGAAAAGTGGGTTATAATAAGCGTGTATGCACCTGGAGAAGAGAGAAGTGTAGAGGAGAGAGAGAGATTTTGGGAAATGTTGAGTGAATGCGTGGGGAGTTTTGAATCAAGTGTGAGAGTAATGGTGGTTGGGGATTTCAATGCTAAAGTGGGTAAAAATGTTATGGAGGGAGTAGTAGGTAAATTTGGGGTGCCAGGGGTAAATGTAAATGGGGAGCCTTTAATTGAGCTATGTGTAGAAAGAGATTTGGTAATAAGTAATACATATTTATGAAAAAGAGGATAAATAAATATACAAGGTATGATGTAGCACGTAATGAAAGTAGTTTATTAGATTATGTATTGGTGGATAAAAGGTTGATGGGTAGGCTCCAGGATGTACATGTTTATAGATGGGCAACTGGTATATCGGATCATTATTTAGTTGTAGCTACAGTTAGAGTAAGAGGTAGATGGGAAAAGAGGAAGGTGGCAACAACAAGTAAGAGGGAGGTGAAAGTGTATAAACTAAGGGAGGAGGAAGTTCGGGTGAGATATAAGCGACTATTGGCAGAAAGGTGGGCTAGTGCAAAGATGAGTAGTGGGGGGGTTGAAGAGGGTTGGATGAGTTTTAAAAATGCAGTATTAGAATGTGGGGCAGAAGTTTGTGGTTATAGGAGGGTGGGGGCAGGAGGAAAGAGGAGTGATTGGTGGAATGATGAAGTAAAGGGTGTGATAAAAGAGAAAAAGGTAGCTTATGAGAGGTTTTTACAAAGCAGAAGTGTTATAAGAAGAGCAGAGTATATGGAGAGTAAAAGAAAGGTGAAGAGAGTGGTGAGAGAGTGCAAAAGGAGAGCAGATGATAGAGTGGGACAGGCACTGTCAAGAAATTTTAATGAAAATAAGAAAAAAAATTGGAGTGAGTTAAACAAGTTAAGAAAGCCTAGGGAAAGTATGGATTTGTCAGTTAAAAACAGAGTAGGAGAGTTAGTAGATGGGGAGAGGGAGGTATTAGGTAGATGGCGAGAATATTTTGAGGAACTTTTAAATGTTAAGGAAGAAACAGAGGCAGTAATTTCATGCACTGGTCAGGGAGGTATACCATCTTTTAGGAGTGAAGAAGAGCAGAATGTAAGTGTGGGGGAGGTACGTGAGGCATTACGCAAAATGAAAGGGGGTAAAGCAGCTGGAACTGATGGGATCATGACAGAAATGTTAAAAGCAGGGGGGATATAGTGTTGGAGTGGTTGGTACTTTTGTTTAATAAATGTATGAAAGACGGGAAGGTACCTAGGGATTGGCAGAGAGCATGTATAGTCCCTTTATATAAAGGGAAGGGGGACAAAAGAGATTGTAAAAATTATAGAGGAATAAGTTTACTGAGTATACCAGGAAAAGTGTACGGTAGGGTTATAATTGAAAGAATTAGAGGTAAGACAGAATGTAGGATTGCAGATGAGCAAGGAGGTTTCAGAGTTGGTAGGGGATGTGTAGATCAAGTGTTTACATTGAAGCATATATGTGAACAGTATTTAGATAAAGGTAGGGAAGTTTTTATTGCATTTATGGATTTAGAAAAGGCATATGATAGAGTGGATAGAGGAGCAATGTGGCAGATGTTGCAAGTATATGGAATAGGTGGTAAGTTATTAAATGCTGTAAAGAGTTTTTATGAGGATAGTGAGGCTCAGGTTAGGGTGTGTAGAAGAGAGGGAGACTACTTCCCAGTAAAAGTAGGTCTTAGACAGGGATGTGTAATGTCACCATGGTTGTTTAATATATTTATAGATGGGGTTGTAAAGGAAGTAAATGCAAGGGTGTTCGGGAGAGGGGTGGGATTAAATTTTGGGGAATCAAATTCAAAATGGGAATTGACACAGTTACTTTTTGCTGATGATACTGTGCTTATGGGAGATTCTAAAGAAAAATTGCGAAGGTTAGTGGATGAGTTTGGGAATGTGTGTAAAGGTAGAAAGTTGAAAGTGAACATAGAAAAGAGTAAGGTGATGAGGGTGTCAAATGATTTAGATAAAGAAAAATTGGATATCAAATTGGGGAGGAGGAGTATGGAAGAAGTGAATGTTTTCAGATACTTGGGAGTTGACATGTCGGCGGATGGATTTATGAAGGATGAGGTTAATCATAGAATTGATGAGGGAAAAAAGGTGAGTGGTGCGTTGAGGTATATGTGGAGTCAAAAAACGTTATCTATGGAGACAAAGAAGGGAATGTATGAAAGTATAGTAGTACCAACACTCTTATATGGGTGTGAAGCTTGGGTGGTAAATGCAGCAGCGAGGAGATAGTTGGAGGCAGTGGAGATGTCCTGTTTAAGGGCAATGTGTGGTGTAAATATTATGCAGAAAATTCGGAGTGTGGAAATTAGGAGAAGGTGTGGAGTTAATAAAAGTATTAGTCAGAGGGCAGAAGAGGGGTTGTTGAGGTGGTTTGGTCATTTAGAGAGAATGGATCAAAGTAGAATGACATGGAAAGCATATAAATCTATAGGGGAAGGAAGGCGGGATAGGGGTCATCCTCAAAAGGGTTGGAGAGAGGGGCTAAAGGAGGTTTTGTGGGCAAGGGGCTTGGACTTCCAGCAAGCGTGCGTGAGCGTGTTAGATAGGAGTGAATGGAGACGAATGGTACTTGGGACCTGACGATCTGTTGGAGTGTGAGCAGGGTAATATTTAGTGAAGGGATTCAGGGAAACCGGTTATTTTCATATAGTCGGACTTGAGTCCTGGAAATGGGAAGTACAATGCCTGCACTTTAAAGGAGGGGTTTGGGATATTGGCAGTTTGGAGGGATATGTTGTGTATCTTTATATGTGTATGCTTCTAAACTGTTGTATTCTGAGCACCTCTGCAAAAACAGTGATAATGTGCGAGTGTGGTGAAAGTGTTGAATGATGATGAAAGTATTTTCTTTTTGGGAATTTTCTTTCTTTTTTGGGTCACCCTGCCTCGGTGGGAGACGGCCGACTTGTTGAAAAAAAAAAATGGGGAGTGCCAAACCCATTAGTCATTATTATTACTATTTGTTATTATTATTATTATTATTATATTTGGTGGGAAGCGTTAAATCCGTTGGGGGTCATACAGTGCCTCGGGTGAAGGGAGGCAGTTAGTTTTGATCCAAAAAAAGGGAGATCAGATCCACCTTCTTGGATCAAGATTCCATCACCAGTGTCAAGGAACCTCACTTGGGGGGATCAGAAAGATCATGGAAACTGTTGTGCACTGCAGCAACAGAATCAATTGTTGTGGGTCAGACTAGTGACTCGTTTGAGAACACAGTATACACTAGACAGCCTTCTTGTCAGAGGTCAGATGACATGACCTCTCAGGTAGCAAATTCACAATCCCTCTTAAACAGCACTGTAAGGAATACAATGGGTGGACTCCCCTACAGTTAAGATAGCAGTGAGTAAAGGCCAATATTTTAATCAGTATAAGTGCTAAACCCATAGGGGTCACATGGTGCTTATGTAATGAGTTATTCAGAATTGATCCACAGGATAACCAAACAGCTAATTAGCACTGATGCAGTGTGTGTAGGAGCTTCATAACCAGCATCTTGTCAGAGCATAGCGTAAAGGTTAATTTTTTTCAAAATTTAGGAAAATTCTGATTATTAAAGATATTCCAGTACCATTTTGTGCATAATACACAGATAACCCGCACATAGGATAATGAAACTTATGGCGATGTTTTGATCCAACTTGGACCATTAACTAGTCAATAGTTAATGGTCCATGTGACTAGTTAATGATCTAAGTCGGATTGAAATGTCACCATAAGTATCATTCTCCTATGTGCAGGTTATCCATATATAGATCCAGTCACAGTATTGTGCCTTTTTATTCCTTGTGCACAATGTTTGTATGTGTTTTCAACACTCCAGCTGTCTCCCTCTGAGGTAGGGTGACCCCCCCTCCCTCCTAAAAAACAAAACTAGATTTTCCTTTTATATTTAGTTATTTATACAGGAGTTACTAGCCCTTCGCTCGCATGTACGTATATACAATATGTACATAGGAGTCATGCAGTGTCTATGGAATTATGCAAGACAGGTTTGACCAAGGAAGTAGAACGCAGCACCAATTCCCAAAGGGCTCATTTAGTACCCGGGATAATGTTAGGCTTTCCAGTTTGATCCAGGGGAAGCACTAAAGTAGGAGGGGGTCATGCAGCACCTGGGAAATTATCATTATAATCAGTTTAAGTGCTAAACCCAAAAGGATCACACAGCACTACAGTGCTTGCCTACTTTGAATATATTTTTTAAGGTAGAATTATAAAACATACTAAATTTTATTACAAATTTATTTGAAAACTTTAACAAATGGGGTAACATATATTTACATGAATTGACGTCGTAAGCAAATTTTTAAATTTGCATGAAAACTTAACCTAAGCCTTATTAACATTAACTTCACTAAATACAGTACTGTAGTAATAGAGCTTAATTCTGTCTAATGCATGTAAGGTTTGCCTGATATTCCTTAATGTATTATCAATGATATAGGTTCCTTAACCCTTAAACTGTCCAAACGTATATCTACTTTGCACGCATAGCGCTCCAAACGTAGATCTACGCTTTTTTTTACAAGAGAAACAATGTAAAATCGAATGTAGATCTACGTTCGGAGTGCTATGCGTGCAAACGTAGATCTACGTTTGGACAGTTTAAGGGTTAAGTGATGCAGACTCTCTCTTTTAGAAAGTAAAAATTGATATATGTAAACCCAACTTGCTGGGCAATATACTTCTTATAGGAAAAAATACACAACCATTTACCCGACTGCCTTTTGATAGCAAGGCATTCGTTTTTATTTTTTATATACAAAAAGAACAAAAAGGCACAATAGTCACTGAAACAATACACAAATAACCCGCAGTTTTGTATAATGTATGGAAGAGATGAATGAGGAATGTTTCTTAAACATGTACACAAAAAAATAATCCCATTCCAAGCATCAATTCTATCATGCTATAAGGCTTGCAATCATCCACATGCTATGGTAACTGCATATATTTATATTTACACTGCCATAAGCTTTCAGAAACAAGAGGATGCCCAAAGCTTAATGAGTTACTTCTTTCAATACCAAGTAATTCTCTGGTTCTTGTCACTTCTTTCGATTAATAAAAATTTTAGTACTATAAAAACAGAATAAATAATTTATTTTAATTATAAAATACAGTACTCATAATATGCTTCTCTGTCAGATCAACTATTACTGTGTACATTAGAAATTGTTTGGTTCTTTAACTGGAAATCAAACATCAGTGTCCCATCACAGGGCTGGAATGTGACAGAATAATGGAGCCTGTATGGCTGCACTTTGTCAACAGTGACTGGTTCTCTGAAGAGGTAGACACCTTGTCGGCTGTATACATCCCAACTGATCTGTTGATTGAAACAAAAACAAAAATTACATAAATGTAAAAGAAAATGTTGCACAGTGGTACCTCGAATTTCGGCCATAATTCATTCCGGAAGGCCCCTCAAGGAAGGTTCCTTGATGTTGGTGAGGGGCTCTTGATTTAGGGAATTGGATCTGTGCTCCAGTTCCCCGAATTAAGCCTGAATGCCTTCCACATCCCCCCCCCCAGGCGCTGTATAATCCTCCGGGTTTAGCGCTTCCCCTTGATTATAATAATAATCATTCCGGAAGGCTGTTCGAGTGCCGTTACCGAACGAATTTGTTCCCACAAGGAATAATGTAAATTAGGCGAGTCAGTTTCAGACCCCCAAAAATACACTTGCAAAAGCACTTACAAAAATACACTTACATAATTGTTCGAGTTGGGAGCTGTTCGAAATTCGAGGTGCCACTGTGGTTACGTTAACAACACATAAGTATTACATTATCAATATGAAATTCTGTTTGACCAGGAATAAGATCCCATTTACTACAGGAGTAAAACATTAACAGTATAATTGATTAGAGACTAAGATCCCTTCAGACCTTGGCTGTGGTAATTAATATGTCTAGAATATCAGGTATAGTTTAAAGTCAATTATTAAATTATATACTACTATAAAAGTTTAATTACAAATAAATATGTGTATAACTGATGTAATATAACACAGTGCATATTAAAAGCTCATATATATAACTAAGTAATTCTAGATGGGTAAGGCTGTTCTACAGCAACTCACTAGAATGAGTGAAATCTGTTTGTCTGAAAAGAATGACTGAAAATTTATTTATGAAAAGACTAAAATACTAATGTACACACTATGATTGTGTGTATACCTGCTGATGCTTCTGCAGATTATCACACTCAGCCTGGTCTCAGGGTAGGCCTTATGGTTAGTCAGACTGTTGGTGCTTACCAGTTTCCCATAATAATGGGTGTGGGTGTTGCCAAATTTTTTTTATTTTTTATTTTTCCATGATTTCCAATTAGTCTCTTATTCACCAATGCTCATTCTCTAGGTTGCAAAATTATCATATAGTGAATAATTTCCAACCAAGGCTGGGTAGCCTAAAGGAGATATGTACATTCACCATCATTCATTCAATAGCTGTCTTGCCAGAGGTGCATGCCTTTGCATATATTACAATCAAATGCCCATCTGAACTTAACCCAAAATTCCAACACTTGAGCAATAATCAAGTGCAAAATATATATCAATGAGATGATAGGTGTGCATACATTTTTTTTTCACCATCACTCACTCAATCGCTGGGCATACATATAATGCAATATTCATAAAAAGTGCTCAACCCATGCATGGTACAATACATACAAAGGACTGCCCCTTGAAAATATTTTAATAATTCTTTATATTACTTACATACTGATCTAATATAACTGGTTGTACTGGGCCTGTGGTTAGGATATCCTCAAGTTGGTCAGTCATATGCCAATCTGCCCAGAGAGCCATGCCATTGACCAGACCAGGACTTGGCAATGTGACAGAGTCAGCACATATTAAAGGGCTGTCAGGAATGGTTGCAGCCAGGTCTAATGTGAGAAGGCAGACCGGATCCCCACGGGCTTTTGCTGGATATTCCCAGAGAGGCTGAGGCTCAACTCTCTCATCTGCTTCTTCACATGCTGACTCAATAAGCTGAAAGTAAATGGTGTATTTAAAACCTGGGAAGCAGAGACAAATTAAAAAAATCTGCACCCGTGAGTTTATGTTGTGAAAGTAACCTTGGAGTAATCAAGGTCCCAGGGCCAAAATGTTTCCAATACAAATGTCCTAGTGTTTGTATTATATGTCTTTTTCCAGTGAAGGGTTTATATATGATGTGAAAAGGTTTACATTGTGAAAGGGTTCTGCATGAGCAATTCCACTGTAATTAAGTAATGCCAAATGAGGAACATACACATCATGAATACAAAATATTTCCTGCCCTTTCCTTTTTACCAAAATAAAAAAAATTGCTGATAAACAACTGCTTGTTATTAACCAAGTTACCTTATCAAATATGTCCATTTTAAATCCACTGCACTGACTGAGTGGTGCCCTAATTTTCCATAGGTCTCTGTATTGCACAGGTATACCCCAGATTTTGACAGTGGCAGGTGTTCTGATGGCCCCGGGAGCTAAGAGATGCAGGCAACTGTTACGTAGGTACCAACAGTACATTGAGTGCCAAGGTAAGAGAGATGTTGAGAAGAATGGCTCACTAAATGTTACTGTTGCCTGAAAATCAGCAGGAAAATAATACACGTTAATGTTTATAATCACAGTGCTTAAATCCATGATACCATTTTAATTATAACTTTTTTAACGTATCTCATCTTTCCCACCAAGATCAGGTGATCCCAAATGAGGAACATTCACTGCCACTCACATCTAACTGCCTTTTTCAAAAGTGCACTTATGGTAATGTGCATCATAATTTCTTTGAACCTGTGGACCACAACATCCCTATTTATTCAATTTACATTTATCAAATCAAATAACTGGCAGTAAAAGAAAAAGCTACTCGGAAGTCACCTTACCTCAGTGTGAGATGGCTATTGATAAAAACAAAAAATCACTACAACCCACTGAAGCTGACATGCTGGATGTATGGTAAGGGAAGTAACTGGCTTTTTCTACTTGTCTCACCCTAGTTGTAATCTGACAATGGTCCAGAATGAACCGAAACATCATCATAAGGTTCCTCCCCAAGTGCAGGTTTTTGATATGTTCATTTAGGCAATCACGAACAAGATAATCCTTTCCTGTACTTATTTGTATTTTGAATTTTTGGCACTATTACCTAATCTTTGGTACATTCAGTATAATTTAACAAACTAATTCTTTTTATGCAAAATAAATATGAAAGCAGTTCATGTGTCTTGAAAAGATATGCCTAAAACTGTCCTCTAAAGATAAGGAAATTTCAAGAAAAAAAAATGTTTCTAAATCACAGGAGTGACATGGTATACGTATCAATGAAAATATATGAATTCAGCAGCGGAGAATTGCATCAGAGCAATACAGCAAATAAATCGCTTCATATTCAAATATGTTCTATCCAGAAAAAAAAAAAAAAAAATTTAAACCCATTTTTATGCAGTACATACAAAGCAACTTTCAACAAATCTGAGCTCTATCATCTACCAAACATTCAGAGATAAAGCAAATTAGCCAAATAAAATTCTCTAGCTATTCTAAAACAAAGATGGAGAAGGCTCAAGAAAATGATAAAATTTCTAAGTTAGTTATATTCAACAAAAATCATTATCACATGCCTTACCATCCATTAGCACAGTCCATCATAATGTCCCAATTTTGTTACCAATATTTAGTAATGTATTATATAAACTCTGGAACATTTAAATTAAAATTACTCACCGGTGACACCAACTGATCCACGGACGTATCACTAACATCCTCGGATAATATAGAAACTTTGTGTTGAACATCATTTGCCATAATGAACTCCTGCATCACTCTTCTATTAGCATCACTTCCCTCTGTCATATAAACATGGCGGGCTCCTGCAAAAGTGACAACAACAATCACAAAATGCTGTTAAATATAGAGTAAACAGATTTAACCTATCAAAGTGTGTACAAGCATTAACAAAACATATACACAACTGTAAATTCTATGAAAATATAACTCGAGTTTTGCAATAACAGACTATTAGCTTACCAGGAAGAGTCAGAAGTAAATGCAGTGCTTAAAATATTGAATAAGGGCTGATTATTGAAGAGAAACTCTAAGTGAAGCTAACTGTAAGCAAAAGTTTGCATGAATAGGAAAACAATTATGTTAAATATGCATGTGTATTTAACGTAATTTTTTTTTTAACAAGTCGGCCGTCGCCCATCGAAGCAGGGTGACCCAAAAAGAAAGAAAATTCCCAAAAAGAAAATACTTTCATCATCATTCAACACTTTCACCTCACTCACACATAACCTCTGCAAAAACAGTGATTATGTGTGAGTGAGGTGAAAGTGTTGAATGATGATGAAAGTATTTTCTTTTTGGGGATTTTCTTTTTGGGTCACCCTTCTTCGGCAGGAGATGGATGACTTATTAACAAAAGAAAAAAAAAAAAAAAAAAGTTAAATACACATGCATATTTTTTCGCTTATAAAACTCAATAAAAATGAAATTATGTCTTACCTAACTTAGCAGCTGCTATAGCCATTAAGCAGCCATCTCCTAAGGCTAAGCAGACACTGTCAGATTTAATATATCGTTCTAAGACTCGAACATAGATTTCTATTCTACGAGGATCATTGAGTTGCCCAAGACGAGTTCGGGAGTTTACAATGTGAATACCACACTCACATACTGGGCGTTCTTCACATACACATTCACTGAAAGAACAGAAAGTTCATCAATACCTGAAAAAAAATTGTAGCTCTTTCAGATTAATAGTGTATATGAGACTATGAAGGCAGATCTAAATGGTAGGAGTTTGAGCCTAGAGGAGGCATGTATTAACATGTTAGATCAGAGTAAGTACAAATAAGGAGTTTTGGAAATTTGATGTGCTGCTGGAGTGTGAGCAAAATAACACCTTCACGGAAGTAGAGTGCTACAAGAAAAATCCTGCAACAATATTGTGGCTATAACTGCCCCAAATGCACTGCATAACACTGGGCTTTCTACGTGAACAACTAAATGTCACCCATGTCTATACAAACATTGTATCATGCTGAAATAAAAATAATCATTATTATTACAGGAGGGCCCCACTTATACAGCAGGTTAGGTCTCAGGCTATTGCTGTAAAGTTAAACATAACCCTTTTTTTTCACTTTCAAATGCAAATATAAGCCTGATAACATGTTTACACTATACTATATTAAGTAAGCAACAGAGCTAGGCCTAAAATATGCATATACAGTATACACATTACTTAAATATTTTTGTCTTTAGCTTATAGTGAATGGTGAAGATATTTATTATAGGAAATCTCAATAAATGAAGAATGGGTATAACTGAAAACCGCTGCATTAACGAAATGCCATAAAGTGAAGTGCTGTAAAACAGGGTCTGCTTGTATTATAACTATTATATCAAATAAATACAGCATTCCTGTCTCAGTGGGATACAGCCAGTGCTTTGAAAGAAATACAGTACTATGATAGTAGAACTAATTTATTTCTGAATGTGATATATTTTATAAGACACAGCACAGAGATGGAGGGGCAACTGAACTGTAGTACTGGTACTCCTCTGGCAAAACATCAAAACCCAGTCAATCATTTTTACATCATAAGAAGTTTCCTAAACTGTGCAAAAGGTTCTGAACATATTAAAACATAATTATTAAAGTACAGCTACCACTTAAAACTTTATACGAGTATGACTGCATAAATGGTAATTAAAGAAAGTACAAAGACCACAAGAAATATGTAGACAGACAAATAAATTGTCAAGGATATCACTCATGTAGGCAGGAGAGATACATGATTATATACACCTGGAAAATCCTAGAGGGACTAGTACCAAACTTGCACACGAAAATCACTCTCTCCGAAAGCAAAAGACTCGGCAGACAATGCAACATCCCCCAATGAAAAGCAGGGATGTAACTAGCATGCCAAGAGACAACACAATAAGTGTCAGGGGCCCAAGACTGTTCAACTGCCTCCCAGCATACATGAGGGGGATTACCAATAGACCCCTGGCAGTCTTCAAGCAGGCACTGGACAGGCACCTAAAGTCAGTACCTGACCGGCCGGGCTGTGGCTCGTACGTTGGATTGCGTGCAGCCAGCAGTAACAGCCTGGTTGATCAGGCCCTGTTCCACCATGAGGCCTGGTCATAGACTGGGCCACGGGGGCGTTGACCCCCGGAACTCTCTCCAGGTAAACTCCAGTAGCTGCTATAGTTAGCATAACTAAATCTTCTAATAAGGGTATATATGCTTAGAAAGTAGACTGGTTGATGATTTTACCATTACAGACACACTACCTTAAGAATTAACCCGTAAACGGTCCAAGCAGATCTACGTTCACATGTGTAGTGCTACAAATGTAGATCTAAGTTTTTTACATATTTTCAAATATAACAAAAAAAAAAAAAAGTAGATCAAACAAAGTTTTTTTTACACATTTTCAAATGTAGAAAAACAAAAAGATCTACTTTTTTTACATACTTTCAAATGTTGAAAAAATGTACATATACGTTTGGACTGTTTACGGGTTAAATTATACAAATATGATATGGGCATACACATATTACTTTATCTTTTCACACCTTATACTAAATCTAAGTTTTTAAATTAACTTTCATAATAACTGTCTCGCATGCATTGCTCGCCTGGGACTAAGTGTTCACATGTACTGGTGGCAAAGACAGTCACCAAGGAGCATAATGTCCAGTCAACCTGAAGGCATAATGTAGCACACTGCCTAAGCTAATAACATGGCTGCCAGACAGTAGCTAAATTTTACATCACTCTACTCTAGGTTGTTTGTTTTTTTATTAGGGCAGAAGGTGAACTTGAGAGATTTTCGGAATCAAATCCTACTTTTTCATACATTACAATATTCACTTTCTTCAGCACAACTTTGCAGTGCATGCCAAATTTCAGGAATGTCAACTAAGTGCAAAGTGAAATTTTACTAAAACTATAATACTGTACAGTCGACCCTCAACTAACGGCGGCATTAAGTAACGGCAATTTCGTCTAACAGCGCTTTTTGCCGTAGAAAAAATGCTTTAACCAACGACGTTTGTCCAGAACGTGCCGATGTGCCCGGAGCGCAGCCTGAGCAGGCCCAGCCACTCCAAGAGTCAGTGTGCCATTGTTTACAAGCTGTTGCGGTCAGTTTCCACCTGTGCCTCCCATACATTTTGGATAATTCCACTATTTCTAGTGCTTGTACCCACTAAATAAGCCACCATGGGTCCCAGGAAAGCTTCTAGTGCCAAGTCTGTGTTAAAAAGGGTGAGAATTACAATGGAAATTAAGTCCTTCTGGAAGGGGATTCTCCTTCCAAGCAATAGACTAATTCTGAATTTCCCCTGCTGCTGGCACATCACTCATCAACAACTCCACAATAAAGGTAAGTGGCATTTAATTATTGTTTATTTTGCATGTCTCATTCCTTTCCATATAAGGAAATGTATATTTCATGTAAAAAAAAAAAAAATTCAGACTTTGGGGTGTCAGGAACGGATTAATTCTATTTCCATTATTTCTAATGGGGAAAATTAACTCGACCAATGGCAATTTTGACCAACGGCAAGCCCTCTGGAACAGATTAATGCCGCTGGTTGAGGGTCCACTGTATTACAGAAAAATCACACTGTACAAAATAAAAACACAAACCTCTCATCTTTCTGAATGTTAAACCAAAGACTGTATTCATCATGTGCAGAAAGTAGTGTGAGTGTAGTGTCTTGAAGCACTGTGCGAGGTTGTGGCAGATAGTACACTGCCTGCATCCAGTGATCCCTCCAAGGAATGTCTTCACTGCTTCCTTTCCAGCATTTGTCTAATCAAAGGAGGAATAAACATATTTGTTATAAATCAGGACTATGACAAGAATAAAAGTCAGATGTCAGTTACTATGAGAAGTGTAGATATCAGTTAATGAGTGATGTGTTGATGTTAGTTACTGAATGCACAAAGATCCAGGACAGACCATAATGTCATAAAATTTCCTCTTCAAATTTTGTACTAATTTGTCTTGAGTTGCATCTAATACACCATGATATAACCTAGCTCATTCTTTTTAAACACATCGGCCATCTCTCACCGAGGTAGGGTGACCCGAAAAAGAGGAAACACTTTCACTGTCATTCGTTCAATCACTTGTCTTGCCAGAAGCGTGCTGACATCCCAGTTCAGATGACCTTCTGAACTTCAATACCCTCACCCCTCCTTCAGAGTGCAGGTACTGTAACAACAACAACAATAATAATAATAATAATTTTGTAAAAAACAAAAGCTGATAAAATTTCTATGAAAAGCAAAGGGTATGTACAGCATTTTGTGCATACTTAAACTAGGACTAAAGCTACTTAATACTAAAAAATACAAGGGCATGGAGCTGTTTTAGCTTATGACTTCAGTACAAAATATAAACAGGTAAGTTGAAAAAAAAACTCTTGTATGTATACATATATCAACTATGGTCACAGCTTACAAGCAATAGAATGGTTCATATTATTTATGTACAATTCAAAATTAACCAATTTTATACGTATAGCATACATCTGAATTGTGATGTTAGCACATGTTCGGCAAGACAGTGATTGAATGAATGATGGTAAATTTTTCTTTGAGTTACCCTGCCTTAGCAGGAAACAGCTGTTAATGTAAAAAACAAAAAATTGACATTAGGTCTACTGATAATTAAAATATTTGCCTAGTTCTCTAAACATCTGAATTACTGGGGTTAGCCTATAATGGTAAAATCACAAAAGCAATCTTTTATTTGTTAAATTTTTACCCACTGTGCAGTGATGACCAAAAAATTTCATTTTGATGCAGTCATAAATGACCTAGCATTGTGATAGGAAGGAATGCAAAAGCATAAAATATATAAATAAAATGTTAAAAACCCTTTATGGAAGTTAGGAACATTCAAAACAAGTTAAAGTATAAGTATAGGTGATAAGTTTTCTATCAAAGGAATTGTACAGTACATTACTAGTGATTTCAACACAATCTGCACACAATAACACAGCTCAGGTTACTAAAGCCCAACTTGCAGAGGATACAGTATGGAAATGGAAATTCTATGTATTAACTGAGAGACAAAATGTACTAGTGATGACTTATGAATATGTAAGGTAACAACAGAACTTAGAAGTTTACACAAGATAACCTACAGAAACTAAAACTTTAATGATGACTGTGAATACACACCGACAAGGTTAGGATGTGCCCAGTATGGAGCACAACTAAGCATGACTTCCCCATCCTGGTCCATCCGCAGATCCCACCACATAAGTACAGCATCACAGTCTCCAGATGCCAGGGTTTCAAACTTTACACGAGTTATTTCATCGCAAGATATGTCCTTCTTTCTGCCACTCCAGTCAAACCTTATGTTGACATGCACAATTAAAATAATTAATGGTATTTAGGAGTAAGCTGCAAAATATAAACTATACTGCAGCAGTACACTTCAAAATAAAAAATGCTATTGTTAGAAAAAGTCTTGTTCACTACACAGCATTTCTAATAAACCAAACTCCCAATTGTTTCACCATTAGTTCTTAATATTATTTATTTGCTTAAATCTATACTGATGCATTGTTCTCTCTAGGGAGTACCCTGCTTTAAGGTAAGACTTCATGCAAAATCCTCCAACTACTTTAAATGTTTTCAAGTCTTCTATTGGTATGAGATGGCATTAACTAAAAGATCATATGCAATACTACAAATCATCTCTGACACATGTTAAGCCATTATACAATCTGCTACTGATGAAAACTAACCAGAGTACAGGGAGTGGATGTGACATGGGTGTAAACCATTCTTGTGGCACTTGAGACAACTGTAGATCATGCACAGCTGCTGCACCTGGACACTGCTGTACACATACTGGCACTGACACCAACACCTGCATGAAAAAAGAAAAATTTGAATTTATATGACATAATAATTACATTAACCTCTAGTATAGCCAAGCCTTATTATTCTAGTCATTAATTCTGTAAAATGCAAATGCAGTACTTTTATTCTGTAAGCTTTCATATTTTGCCTCTTCTGATGAAAGGATGTTTAAAAACTTCAACTGATGAGTGGAGTAGCATTTTTTAGTCTGCTGAGACAACTGGAGTACTGCAATTAATGAAAATTTTGCATACAAGTAACAAGTGTGTTAACATGTAGACTTTTATCTCATACTTACATCAAGTTGCAACTTACTATAGCAACATGTCTATATGGATAAAGACACAAGCATGTAGAACAAGCCTTTAGTTGGAAATTTTGCTTTTATGTAATCTTTTTCATGTTCTACAATATAACAAATTATTGATGACTGAAAAATTCTTCCATCAACAAACCTCTCGTTCCTTTGTCCCAGGTTTAACTCTGGTAACGGGCTGAATACGATTCCATCTTTGAAGCATCTTTGATGAAACTACTTGAGCATATACTGTACCCTCAGATGGAACTAAAAGTGCATCTTCCTACAAAGTATATAGACATTAATTTATTTTTTAATTAAGGCAAATTAGCTCCCCATATAAAAGATTCTAATTCAACAATACCTGCATTGTAGTATTAATAACACCAATTATTATACCATACCATTTTATAAAAGCTTTACATTTGAAAAATGTGTTACAGTAATATCAAGATTTTTTTTTTTTTTTTTTTTTTTTTTTTTATCACACCGGCCGATTCCCACCAAGGCAGGGTGGCCCGAAAAAGAAAAACTTTCACCATCATTCACTCCATCACTGTCTTGCCAGAAGGGTGCTTTACACTACAGTTTTTAAACTGCAACATTAACACCCCTCCTTCAGAGTGCAGGCACTGTACTTCCCATCTCCAAGATATTCAAACAAAAATATGCAAAAACATAGAAATAACAAAGTGGAACTATTTAGCATTACTCAGCAGTAATACTTCACAAGCAAGCGCAAAAAAAAAAAAAAAAAAAAAAAAAAAAAATACTTTTCATTTGTTTCCCAATACATACTGTCAACAAAACATCCCTTGCATGTCGATAGGTGTCAATAGCTCCTTCACCAATTAGTTCTGTGTCAAAGACCTCAGCAACGAGCAGGTTAGCTCTCCTCTCCATATCTTTGCCTGGACCAACTTCAATTTCTGTTGATCGCTTGGGAACTAGATGAACCTATAAAAATAAAGAACATGCTAAGCTTACACACACTTAGAAAGCCTTTTCCATTTTCCAGATCAAACAAAACTGTAATTACCTGGGGAATTAATCTAATACAGAGAATTCGCAATTTGGAGATTAGAAGATGTGCAATTACTAAAAGTATTATCCAAAGGGCAGAGGGGCTTATTAAGGTGGCTTTGACATAAGCAAAATAGGATGGCTTGGAGCAGGTGCAAGGGTTGTCCTAGGGAAAAGGGGTAAAGATTTTGTATGCGTGGACCGAGAATCCTTCACTTGCATCAAGGAGCCACCGTAGAGAGGCCCATGGCCTCTAAACAATGAATAAATAAGATAATACAGTGCATCATTTCTTGTTTATATTCAATTGTTGCATGTGTAGTATACTCATTTCTCAGACATGAAAACTTTTCACAATTTTTGTAAGACAGTAATGAAAATGTATATTTCATTAGATTTTGATCTCGATTGTTTTTGTATTAATTAATGTATTGATGCTTTCTATGTAGTCTTTGGTGTATGTTTGGCAGACTCATGTTTTTTTATATTTTTCTGGAAACTGGTAATGATAGCCAATATAAGAAATCACTAACCAGGGCACAGGCAGTTGGTAACTGAACTTATTCACCAATGTATCCTTGGTTGCTATGCAAACTTACAATAAGCAGTCATTAAGTGTGGGAGAATTGCATTATTTTACCCTAAAAAAAGCTGATCCTTACCTTGTCTGCAAATCCATTTGCTTTTAATCCTTTCCTTGCACACTCAGCCATAGGATGAAATGCCTAGAAACAAAGGTAGTATTTCATCAGAACATCTGATAAATAATTTTAGTAATATATTAGAAAGATGACAAAAATACCAGGTGGCTGAAATATATACAAATAATATTAATAATCTTGAGTGTGTTTAAACGGAAGTGAATGGATATGTTTTTTAATGGATGTGCTGTTGGAGTATGAGCAGGGTAATTTATATTGCTAAGCAATAAGAAAATATACAACACACAGGATCAAAATCTAGCCTATCATACCTCACATGCTGTCACTGAGTCTGCCCCACATGACACTGCCATCATAGAGAGCAGCCCAGTACCTGTGCCAATGTCTAGTACGTGCACCTCTTGTCCACGTCTTCGCAGTTCTTCTATTGATCGCCGCAATCCTTCAAAATATTTATCATTCTGTTGGATAAACACATGCCTATTATAGTTGAATACAAGACAATACTAAACACTGTTCTTAATCACAATTTGTTGCAAAATACTTTCATATTGAAACTACCATTTATAAGATTAAATTGTATTTGTTACAAGAACGAAAGGCAAAACATATCTATAATTAAGTTGTCTGAAAAAAAGATTATTAATGTGATGATTATTCTCAGTAAAAACTCTATATTAAATCAGCAAAGCTAATATGCAGAGACAGTAATACAAAACTGTACTGATAATTTTTTTTTTTCAACAAACCGGCCGTATCCAACCAAGGCAGGGTGGCCCAAAAAGAAAATCGAAAGTTTTTCTTTTTAACCCTTAAATGGTCCAAACGTATACTGTATATACGTTTTTTCAACATCTGAAAGTATGTAAAAAAATGTAGATCTTCTTTTTTGTTTTACATTTGAAAACGTGTAAAAAACTTTTATCTATTTTTTTTTGTTATATTTGAAAGTATGTAAAAAAAAGTAGATCTACTTTTGTAGCACTACGAATTTGAACGTCGATCTGTTTGGACCGTTCAAGGGTTTAATTTAGTAATTTATACAGGAGAAGGGGTTACTAGCCCCTTGCTCTTGGCATTTTAGTCGCCTCTTACAACACGCATGGCTTACGGAGGAAGAATTCTGTTCCACTTCCCCATGGAGATAAGAGAAAATAAACAAGAACAAGAACTAGTAAGAAAATAGAAGGAAACCCAGAGGGGTGTGTATATATATGCTTGTACATGTATGTGTAGTGTGACATAAGTGTAAGTAGAAGTAGCAAGACGTACCTGAAACCTTGCATGTTCATGAGACAGAAAAATGGACACCAACAATCCTACCATCATATAAAACAATTACAGGCTTTTGTTTTACACTCACTTGGCAGGACAGTAGTACCTCCCTGGGTGGTTGCTGTCTACCAGCCCACTACCTATACTGATAATTTTATTTACAATAATTACCGAGCAGAAATATAATGGTAACAATAAGTGCATGAATATGAATGATGATTTGAATCTGGATAAGCAGATTGCATTAGACATCTGATCTTTTTATACTGTATAGTATATTATTTTTTTAACATGCTGGCCGTCTCCCGCCAAAGCAGGGTGACCCAAATTATTATAATCAAAAAAGAAGCACTAAGGGTGACCCAAAAAAGAAACATTTTTGCCATCATTGATACTATCACTGTATATATCACAGTATTTATCATACAAATTAAAAAAAATGCCCTTTAAAAAAAGACAAACAAAAGAAAATATACCCTCTCCTGGTCATGTAGCATGTCAGCATATGCAGAACGTGCCACCTCCTGCTTGTAGTCATAGTCTTCAGGCTGTATCCCCCACTCAAGCTTCCCTGTTATAGGGTTGAGTTGCTGAGTGAACACACTCATCCTTCTTCCACTATGCAACTTTGATCTACAAGGAAAATACCAGCAAGAGTAATTGATGTTTATCTTAGCTTAAATCATTACTACACAGGTACAAGATATCTTTCAAAAAATGAGTTTCTAATTACACAAACAGTACAGCATGTATAGGCAATGGTGACAAAAATCTATTATGAATTATTAATTTTTTACACAAAGGCAATAGGCACTAAATGTTGACACACAATGATAATTTAGCCAAGGATAACCCAATCTAGCCATTGTGTGATAAAAATTGCAGTATAATGTGATCCTTTAATGACCATGTTTCACCCACACAGTGGGCTTTATCAAGTCACAAACAGATCTGTTTGTGACTTGATAAAGCCCAGTCTTCATGAACTAAACACTTACAAGAACGGGAAAAAATTAGATCCAATGAAGGTGTCTTTGTCTTCAAGTGAAGATAAAATAAAACCTAATTTGTTCTTCCTTCTGCTAATAGATCCAAAACATGATTTGCTTTCTTTAGTCACAGGCCACCTACTATATGTAGGACTTGCTTGGAGAGAGAGCAACCACTGCAGTCGTTGTAGCATCACATCATCATGACAAAAGTACCTGTCAGAGAATGAAACAGTGGTAGATTATTATATTCACAGTGAAATGCTAAGCTCATAAGAATTATACAGTGTGAGGTGGAAATGACAGGTAATCATAAATGATCCAAGGTGTCCCACAGCTCGATCGCTAGAGCACTCAGCTCACACACTGAGTCCCGAAGTTCAAATCTCCGGTACAGCTGGAAAACATTAGGATGTGTTTCCATAAGACACCTGCTGTCCCTCTTCACCCATCAGTGTAAAATGGGTACCTGGGTGTTAGTCGACTGGTGTGGGTCACATCCTGGGACAAAACTGACCTAATTTGCCCGAAATGCTCTGCATAACAAGCTGCTTTCTATATAGTAGTGTCATTGATGTTAGCTAGGCCTGTATACCTTCTACATGTACTTGTTTACCTGGAGTTTACCTGGAGAGAGTTCCGGGGGTCAACGCCCCCGTGGCCCGGTCTGTGACCAGGCCTCCTGGTGGATCAGAGCCTGATCAACCCGGCTGTTACTGCTGGCTGCACACAAACCAACGTACGAGCCACAGCCTGGCTGGTCAGGTACCGACTTTAGGTGCTTGTCCAGTGCCAGGAAAAAGAAAGCACATGTAGCTCTAACTGCATGCATCACAAAAAGAGCTATTCACCATCATCATTAGGTTAAATATAAAATGTTTTACAAAAACAGAGTTGGTGGTAGCAGTGGGAGATTATGAACCGGTTCTCAAGAGCCCAGTAGTGACAGTAGAACACCAGGATGAAGAAGTAGATGCATTCTCCACATACGTGGAAGAAGCTATGAGGATGAAGGATGCTCAAGTGTAGATGGTAGGGCAGGTTGGTATATAGTAGATGTTGGGGCAGATGGATGCAAAGAAATCAATAAGGATGACTGAGATGTAGACATCAGGACGAGTGGATATGGCACTGACATCAGAACATGTGGATGCAGAACAGACATCAGAACTGGTGGATGAAGGACAGATGTCAGTGGTAGACAATGTTGGGAAAGGGGTGAAGGGACACCTGGATGTGGTCCTGAGCCACCTATTCCCAACTCTGCATGGGGAATGCAGATGTTATTCAGTTGATATGTGCCTCTGGTGACATGGTAGGCACTATGCTTACTTCTAGGTCCTTCTCTGTGTCTGATCTTTTGGTCCCTTCTCCAAACCTCATAACACTGCATTTGCTGGAGTTGAATTCAAGCAGCCACTTATCTGACCAACTCTGCAGTTTGTCCAGATCCTTTTTCAGCCTTTCCCTGTCCTCATCTGTCTGTATTCTCCTCATTAGTTTTACATCATATGCGAATAGAGATGAATGTGATTTGATTCCATCTGGTATATTTTTCACATAAACCAGAAAAAGCACTTATCCTAATACTAATTCTTGTAATACCCCACTTGCTACTCTTCCCTAACAATCACTCTTTACTTCCTTCATTAAGTTACTCCTTGATCTACTGGAGTAATGTTCCCAGTTATTCATGCCTACTCAAGTTTTTTCCCCTAGTTTCATTCAGGTTACAGTATCAAATACCTCCTTGCAGTCTAAGAAAATGCAATCTACCCAACCCTCATTTTCATGCCTCACTTCTATTACTTTGTCATATAATTCCAAAAGGTTGGTAAGACAAGACTTGCCATCTCTCAACTTGTACTGGTTGTTGTTTATGAAACCAGTTATTTCTAAGTGCTCAACCACTCTCCTCCTGACTATCTTCTCTATTACCTTGATATACATGTAAGTAAAACTCCCCTAAATTCAATCTCACTTAGAATGAACCCTTCTCACTCATGCATTTGTGTAACCTATCTTTAAAGTTACCAAAGGTTTTAGCTTCAATAACTGTCACTTGGCAGATTGTTCCACTCAGCAACAACTCTATTCCAAGTAGACCCCCAAAAATACACTTACAAAAGCACTTACATAAATACACTTACATAACTGTTTGAGTTTTGGGCTGTTGGTATCCCGAGGTGCCACTGTACTTCCCTTCATTCAATTCAAACGAATTCATCATTTCAAGATCTTTCTTGGTTGCACATTCTCGGTACCCTATTGATATTTCTCTTATTATACCTGTCTCTTCTCATTCTACATTTTTCATGAGTGTTGGTTTAGAGCTCTCAATCCATCCTTGTATGAAAGATTCCTCACACAATGGATTCAAATTAAAATTCTTTATTTCTTTTATGCAGTATACAGATAATATAGTTTACATGTAATAAAATTATCATTATAATCAATACTAAGCACTAAACCCACAAGGGTAATACAGACATGCAATAAAAGATTGTTAGGCACAAAAGAGAGCCACTAGCAAGCACTGCATTATCTTAACTCTGTTCACCCACATTCATTCTGTGTAGATTATTTGTTAATTGTAATATTCCAGTCAGTGTTTATGGTAGGCCTTGAGTTTATGGTAGGCCTTGAGTTTATGGTAGGCTTTGAGTTAATGGTAGGCTTTGAGTTTATGGTAGGCCTTGAGTTTATGGTAGGCTTTGAGTTTATGGTAGGCTTTGAGTTTATGGTAGGCTTTGAGTTTATGGTAGGCCTTGAGTTTATGGTAGGCTTTGAATTTATGGTAGGCTTTGAGTTTATGGTAGGCTTTGAGTTTATGGTAAGATAAGAAGAGATAAGAGATAAGATTTCGTTCGGATTTTTAACCCCGGAGGGTTAGCCACCCAGGATAACCCAAGAAAGTCAGTGCGTCATCGAGGACTGTCTAACTTATTTCCATTGGGGTCCTTAATCTTGTCCCCCAGGATGCGACCCACACCAGTCGACTAACACCCAGGTACCTATTTGCTGCTAGGTGAACAGGACAACAGGTGTAAGGAAACGTGTCGAAATGTTTCCACCCGCCGGGAATCGAACCCGGGCCCTCCGTGTGTGAAGCGGGAGCTTTAGCCACCAGGCCACCGGGCCTTGAGTTTATGGTAGGCTTTGAGTTTATGGTAGGCTTGGCTTTGAGTTTATGGTAGGCCTTGAGTTTATGGTAGGCTTTGAGTCAATATAACACAATTTTCCTTTACAATGGTCATGAAGACACATGTTATTGACACACAAAAAATACATAACCCTATAAATAATGACTTATTTCCCTGTGATGTCACTATATATTCTGCTTATTATTTTTTAAATGTTTACTATAACCGAGGATTTTATATTACTGTGATGTTCATTATTTTGGGTTTATTAACTACATTTCACTGTCAAAATATATTATGTATTCTTCGTTATGTTATGTGTAATGTGATTATTTCTGAATGATTTATAATGTGTTTTTAATGTATATTTATCAATTAAACATAAAAAAAATGACGGAAATACAAATAATCATTACATTCATGAAGCTCCAAATCCGTACGAGTCACATAGTACTCGGGAATGGGAGTCAATCACGTTTGACCCAAGGAAAGGGCAGCTCCAACTCCTTGGATCAAGAGCCCTCGCCAAGCCTCAAAGCACCCAACTTGAAGGGCAAGAAAAATGAAGAATCACATAATGCCCCGGGCTCAGGGAATTGAAATTCATCCCTATCAACATAAATTTTCTGCCTTATTTAATATATTACGAACAGCAATTTCACATGACCTTGTGACGGAGATGAATTTGCTTCTCCCTGCGTGAGTTTATACATTAAACAAGGTATTTAATAGGAGAAAATAAGGAAAAACCTAACTAACCTCACGTGTTAGCAGAAGACATTACTGAGGATGCCTGCAAATATTACCTTATGATAAACTCTTCAAAAAAGATTTTATCCATCTCTTGAATTATTTATAGATGTTTATTATTATCTATAACATAATATTGTTTGAGTGCATTTCAAACTTTTTTATTTGTCCGACTAAATACGATATTTTCCAAGTCAATGACAATGTTGTTTTACTTAGCATTTCTGATTTAGTATATTTATTTCCAATAGTAAAAATATTTGGTTAATTAACCTTAAATATAAATTAATTTTGAATGGGTAACAATAATAAAATAAGAAATAAGGCTTAATAAAGTTGAGAATATTTGAGTGAAAACATAAACACGAGACATTATTGGAACGCTGGCCATTGAGGGGGACCGGCGGTGGATGAGTCATATTACTTCCTGAATTTGCGGTGTTTTGTCTTGTGTGTGGCCACAGTTGAGCCTTGAGACCAGGGCCACACTGCTGCAGGGCCACACTCCTCCTCCAGCACAGACGTGGGCGGCTGCTCTGCGAAAATGGCGGCGCCCAACACAGGTGAAGGCCAGGGTTTGACACATCATGTTCCTCCACCTAGGGTGGTGCCCCCGTCCTACCTCACATCCTCCTATTTCAAGCTAATCGCACCTATTTTCCTCGAGTTCAAGCTTGTTACCTTCCATTCCTACCCTTCCTGGTGCTGTGTGACCCGTGAGGGTTTAGCGCTGCATGAATTTAATATGTTTCGCCTCCATGCATGTCCTCCCTCCTCTGGCCTTTTACTATTTGTGGTATTTCTCGACATTAAATGTATTTTGTGGATTTAGTAGAAGTGGCCGGTATACGAGAGAAGGATTAGATTAGGGAAACATTTTTTGAGAGGCAGAGTTAGCAGGCTCCTGTCTTGATTCTCTTATTTTATGAACTATTTCAGTGTTGCATTATTAATGTGTTTTATTGGGGTCATGGGTGTGGCAAGTAGATTGGCAGGGAGATTGGACAAGAATATTCTCATATTGATAGATGCCATTACATTAGTGCTGGGATCTTCTACACGGATCATTCTCCTTTTATTCCCCAGTTTTTTTATATCATTTTTTTTTCTTAAATTCGACACCATTAATCTATTTTAATGGTGTTATGGGTAGAGTCTGTGTACCAAGAAGACAATTGCACGAGAAATTTTGTAGAAAGATTGTGTAATGTACTACTGGCACTGATGTACCCACAATCTTTTATAACTTTTGGTATTTGATGCTGTTAATGTACTGCATTTTGTAGACAAATTTGTAGGTATGCAAGGATTGAGAGGAATATTAGACTAGTAGTAGTTTTGCTATGATGGTGCACTGTATATTTTTGTCCTCCTTCCTTTAATTTGTTTTCACTTGACATTGTTGACAGAGTTTGAGCTACTTCTCCTGACTAAGAATTCAGCATCCCCCTACCCCTTGTTTTTTAATTAGCTGGTGAAGCCTACATAGCATTATTTGTGGCCTCTGATATGGAGTGACTTTTTGGTACTGTTTGTACTAATATAGATTTATACCACCACTGTTGAAGCTGCTGCAATTGCTTTTCACACCACTGTGCTAAGGGGAAATGCCAAAATTTGAGAGGATTGTGGGTGGCTATTTGCTTGGAAGGTGGGGAACTAGGAGACATTTTAAAGCAGTTGTTATATTTATTTATGAGACTGAAGTTTCCCCTTGTTGCCACCCCTGCCTGTGCTGTTGAATTTTTAGTTGTTACAGCCTGAGGCATGAATGCAACTACAGTATTTCTTACAGTACATCAGTTCTGATTGCAGTATTTGGTATTGGTAGCTGCAAAGCATTCAGTTAGCTGCAATTTGTTGTTTGTAATACAGTACTTTAAGGTCGAGGCCTGTTTCTGTAAAGGGTACTGATTGACCCCCATGGTTCTGCCTCTTTGTAAGCTTTACTGTTTGCTAAACCTTAATTCTTGTACAATTACAGTTCATTATTTGATAACACTTCATGAATTTTGAGATCCATATTTCCTTGATAGGGGGGCAATGTCGCAGATGTTGCAGGTGTATGGAATAAGAGGTAGGTTACTGAAAGGAATGAAGAGTTTCTACGAGGAAAATGAGGCTCAGGTTAGAGTATGTAGGAGAAAGGGAGACTATTTCCCAGTAAAAGTAGGCCTTAGACAAGGATGTGTTATGTTACTGTGGTTGTTCAATATATTTATAGGTGGGGTTGTAAGAGAAGTGAATGCGAGGGTCTTGGCAAGAGGCGTGGAGTTAAAAGATAAAGAATCTAACAAAGTGGGAGTTGTCACAGTTGCTCTTTGCTGATGACACAGTGCTTTTGGGTGATTCTGAAGAGAAGTTGCAGAGGTTGGTGGATGAATTTGGTAGGGTATGTAAAAGAAGAAAATTAAAAGTGAATATAGGAAAGAATAAGGTGATGAGGATAAAAAAAAATTAGGTGATGAAAGATTGGATATCAGATTGGAGGGAGAGCATGGAGGAGGTGAATGTATTCAGATATTTAGGAGTGGATGTGTCAGCAAATGGGTCCATGAAGGATGAGGTGAATCATAGAATTGATGAGGGGAAAAGGGTAAGGTGCGCCTAGGAGTCTGTGGAGACAAAGAACTTTGTCCGTGGAAGCAAAGAGGGAAATGTATGCGAGTATAGTTAGTGGACCCTCGTTTTAGTAGTGCCTTTTCTGTATGCAAAACTATTTTTATTATCTATAAAATGTATGTTTTGTTAATATTTCCCATAGGAAATAATGTAAATCCAATTAAACCATTCCAGACACCCAGAAATATTAACAAACAATACATTTTATAGATAATAAAAATAGTTTTGCATACAGAAACGGCACTACTAAATTCGAGGGTCCAACACTTTTATATGGGTGTGAAGCATGGGCGGTGAATGTTGCAACAGGGAGAAGGCTGGAGGCAATGGAGATGTCATGTCTGAGGGCAATGTGTGGTGTGAATATAATGCAGAGAATTCATAGTTTGGAAATTAGGAGGAGGTGCGGGTTTACCAAAACTATTATCCAGAGGGATGAGGAGGGGTTGCTGAGGTGGTTTGGACATGTAGAGAGAATGGAACAAAACAGAATGACTTCGAGAGTGTATATGTCTGTAGTGGAGGGGTAGGGGTTGGCTGAGGAAAGTTGGAGGGAGGGAGGGAGTGAGTAAAGGAGGTTTTGTTTGCAATGGGCTTGGACTTCCAGCAAGCATACATGAGCATATTTGATAGGAATGAATGGAGACAAATGGTTTTTAATACTTGATGTGCTGTTGGAGTGTTAGCAAAGTAACATGAAGAGATTCAAGGAAATCGGCAGGCCGGACTTGAGTCCTGGAGATGGGAAGTACAGTGTCTGCACTCTGCAGGAGGGGCGTTACTGTTAGTTTTATAACTGTAGTGTAAAGCACCCTTCTGGCAAGACAGTGATGGAGTGAACGATGAAAGTTTTTCTTTTTCAGGTCACCCTGCCTTGGGAATTGGCCAATGTATTAATAAAAAAAAAAAATATTTTACCATTTTGTTAAACTTGCGGGTTGGCAATATCGAACACAGTATTTACAGAGTTTGTGGATTTGTTTTGTATATTATGTTATATCTTCTCTGCTAATGGTCCTGACTTTTGCAAGACCTCTTAAATTGCAGGAGAAATAGAGATATAAGAATTAAAATAAACACAGGAGAGAAATAATATATGTGCATTAAATGTAAATGGGCATTTGTAAGATTAGCCTGTTGTCTGTCTAGTATGTTCAGGAGGCAAAGAAGATACCTGCAGTCCTTCAAGAGTTCGCAAGATTAATAGCCTTCCACTTTACTCGTATGACTGAATATCCTGAAAGTTTGCCATAGACTTCCCCATTGAGAGGAATATTGATAAAGGAATAATTGTGAGGTACTGTTATAGATATGTATCTTTTATTATGGCCAGACTGTATAGTTAATGTTTGTTAGTAAAATTATAATTTTATTTTACCAAGTATGAAATGTAGAATGTTGATAAACATTTTAGTTATCCCTTTAATAAATTGTTTATGATCATGATGAATACAGTAAATATTTAGGTGTTTTTAGACACTAACATCAGATGACATTTTAATTACTGCAGAAGCACAAAACAGTAGGGCCCCACTTATACGGCGGGTTAGGTTCCAGGCTATCGCTGGAAAGCAGACATCGCCGGAAAGCAGAAAGCCATTTTTTCCATTTATAAATGCATATGAATGCCAGACAACAAGTTTACACCAGCTTATATTAAGTTAGTAATAGAACTAGGCATTAAAAACACAAAAAGTAAAATGCATACACAGTACATTCATTACTTATCTTAGAGTATTTGTAATCTTAATGTAGGGAGAGAGGTGAGTAGTACTTATTAGTAGGAAGTCAGATGTAGGTAGCCCTGGCTCCCCGTCTCATACTTAATATGCGATATTTAAAACAGCCCAGAGAGTCAAAATACACTTACAGTACACTCACTATTTACCTTAAAATATGTGTAGTCTTAATGTAGGAAGAGAGGTGAATAGTATTTATTTGTAAGAAGTCAGTGTAGGTAGCCGGTAGGTGTAGCCCGCCTGGGTTACACCTACTGGCTACCTGCACTGTGGCCCAGAGCCATATTATTAGCATCGACATACCTTGTTCACTGAATTTAATAGTTTCTAACAACTACCTTTAGATGCCATCATAAACGAATAAATGAATAATTCATGCCGAAAATTGTAAACAAGAGCGGAGTGGGGGAGTGGCTGGGCCAAACGCAGATTCATACACGTTTTCTCTGGTGGCTGAGCAGAGAAAATGTAATGTTGTCCTTCCGCCCAGCTACCACACAGGTCCACAAGTACTATTATTATCAGAGCACATACAAAATATGCAATAAATGCCAGACAGCAAGTTTACACTAAATTATATTAAGTTAGCAATAGAAATAGGCATTAAAAACACAATAAAAGGTAAGGTGCACACAGAGTACACTTATTACTTGCCTTAAAATATTAATGTGTGAGAGGTAAGTGGCGGGGTGTTTATTGAATAAAATCAGAATGGCACACCATCCTCTAACTTGGCACTTAAAGCAAGAGGCTTACAACTCCTCTTTTTATCACAGCTAAGCTCAGACGCCATCATCAATGAGAGCCAACTAGTTAACGAAAGAGTAAACGAGAGAGAACGAGATACGTACAGAGTTCAGACAATGTAAAAACACAAACTGAACAGGTAGTGGGCGATCACTTGGTCAGGCGAAATAAATGCGTATTAATATGTGTCTACTTTTAGTTCATTCACATATGTTTGTAAGAGTTTGTAAAGCTTTTACCTTACAATATTTTTTATTATAATAATAATTACCTCGCAATACAAATACTCTTACATTGTGTACAAGTTAGTACAGAATAAACAAACAGCAACACTCCCATTCTCATGCAACATACCATTTTTAGAGTGAGTGAAGACATTATTATCATAATAAAAAAGCGCTAAACCCACAAGGGTCGTGAATTGCTATATATATAGAGTGAAGGCATACAAAAGGAATATTTTTCTGGAGTTATCCTCCAGTATTTGACTAGAGAAAACGTGATTCTTCCGACACTACCTACACAGCCGCTTTGTAAACAAATCTCATGTTTAGGTCAATTTTTATTCAATGAGTGTATGTATCATGTTTATATGCTATGTAACATGTTTCTTATATAATTTTGAGGAAAATATCATAGATGGATTAATGGAAATGTCTATATCAACCCTTTCAGGGTCCAGAGGCCAAATTTCAAAGTGTGCACCAGGGTTCAAGAATTTAAAAAAAATAATTGTTATTTTTTCTTACGAAATGGTAGAGAATCTTTTTCTGAAGGTAATAAAACAAAAAGTACGAAATTTGATGGAAAATTGATGAAATTTTGCTCTTGCGAATTTTGATGCGTCAGCGTTATTTACGCATCGGCAATTTTTGCCAACTTTGATTCCCATTTTAGGCCAATTACATCATTCCAGTCGACCAAATTCTTAGCTATTTCACTAGTATTACTTCTATTCTATCGATTGAGCACACGAAATCTCCATGTCAACTGTTTCAACTACAAAATAGTGATCGGAAATTGGTAATTTGGCCAATTTAATGCAAAGTTCAAAATATTCTAATTTCAAAATAGGGTCCAGAATAAACAATACAGGCATTCCTGGCACTAAAGTAACATTTCCTCTGTTCGTTAGTTATGTTTTCAGGCTTTACAAGTGAATTTCATTTTGATTTTTATTCACATAATAAATTTTTATTCAAACCAAAAAAATAGAAGATTTACTGTTATGAAATATTGTAATAATCGAATAAATAATATCACCACATTTGTGAACGTATATTAGACCCACCAGCTGGTGTGTATTAGACGTGTGAGGTCATTTGTTTACTCTTGAACATCAGCAAAAATTGAACATTTCGGCTACTTTGAGCTCTTTCAAGCCATTTTCATTACTAAAACTAATCAAAATCATCTCTGTTTCTGTAATATATCTTCCATTCTATCAAATGACACCAAGAAATCGCAAATACAACTATAAAAAACATACGAAAAAACACTGCAAATTCGCACTTTTAATCGAAAATTATGGTCTCGGTTTTCTTTCTCTCATGTAATGCGTGCTGCAGGATTTGTTTTATATGGTGCACATATACCAGATAGATGTATTCTCTCATATCTAGGCCCAAATTTACCGCTCACAGCTTATCAGAGTGAGCTGAGCTCATGGCATAGAGCTACGGTTTGGACCCTCAACGTAAAGCCGTAGATCTACGGCACGGACCCTGAAAGGGTTAATGTAAAATCAGACATTTAATGCGCCCAAGAGTGATTATTATTGCATAGTATTGGCGTCGTGAGTAGAGAGAGACTTAGCGATTTTAATGTGTACCTGCACACCAGCAGTGTGTAAGTACATGTATATTGAGGTACAGGTACACATAATTATAATTATCAGAGTACATATAAAATATGCAATAACTTGAAAACACTTGAAATTTTGGAAAGTTTCCAGACATAATAGATGTGGTCACGAAGAATGTAAACAAACCGGGTGGGGCACACCGTATTTAAAAGACCGCTTGCCGTATAGCAAATTTTGGTCATAATTTGACGTCGCTGTAAGGCGAAATGCCATAAAGCAGGGCCCTACTGTACTTGTAGAAGTTGAGAATAGGAGGAGCGGGCAAATTCTTGGGCAAAGCATTTATACTCTAGGTTCTATGATGGATTAGACATGTGCAACATTTGGGTATCTAATTCATCATCTTGTCAGTATTGTAAACTACTGATGTTCAACTAGGTTCTATATTGCAAATTTATTAGTTAGCTAGGTTTTAATACTTAATATTGAGTGGCAGTTCTACAGAGTACAGTAGTTTTAGGCAGTCTTATTGAACACTGAAATTTTATCCTGTTTAATAATTGTGAAATAGGAATGAGTTTGGCCTCTCTGCCCTAAGCCATTGTTGGGTTTTAAGGATGTTTGTTTTCATATTTTGCCAGTAGGCCAACAAATTGGTGTGCTAAATTGCTGCTGTTTTGTTTTCAACTGATATTCTTTTATTATAGACTTGGCTTATTATATAAGTGGTGCTGGTTTTTAGACTGTTATATTATACAGAGATGTTGATTTAAAATTTTTTAGCAATATCATAATTGTCATGTCATTGTTTTAACTTAAAAGTTTTTATGTGAGCTCTCCTTATTTTCAGTGGTCCCGCGTAACTTCCGCTTGCTAGAAGAATTAGAGGCTGGCCAGAAAGGTGTAGGAGATGGCACCATCTCCTGGGGACTAGAAGACGACTCTGACATGACCCTTACCAATTGGACCGGCATGATCATCGGACCACCCAGGGTGAGAAGAATTTTTAACACTCCAGCACAGTTTCAGTACTTATGACACATCTAGTCATGTAGCCACTCACAACCCTTATTATTGCCCACACTACTAACTCTCACTCTCCTATCTAGTCACCCACACCAGGCCACTAACACTTCCTTTTACAGTGCCTTGTTGCTTCCAGGCTAATTTACCCTCACCCCTCCACTGCCCATCATCCTTCACCTCCCACACCAGAAGTCTCCCAATCCCTACTGCCACACCAAACTCTCCTTCACCCCAACTGCTCTAACCTCTCCTTTAGCTAGCAAGACAACCAGCTAAAGGCATCTCTGTTGGCAGACATGTGGATGCAATATCTTTGATGCACATCACTACATCGACCTCTAATTATAATATCATTGCTTTTTAAAATTTTGAGGAAAATTTGGGTGCCTTTTTGGGAGATGTCTAAGGAATGTAACCCCATTTTTCTATGTTCTTTAGTTCATTTTACACTTTGATTACAAGCCATTTTCAGGAATGTAACTGTGCCAACAGACAGTCAAATGTATAAAATATTGATGCATTTGGTAAAAAAATGGGGGGGGGGGCAGTGTGCCACCCATCACTACCTGGTGCCATTTCATGAATATTCATTGCATCAGAGTGAATTGCCAGTACATTTCTGATGGGATTGGAGCTGATTATTTAAAGATGGATTTTTCATGCATTGAATCCACTTAGATTATACATCTGTATTGTACTGCTTTGCATTTGGTTCATTTTATTACTTTTCATTTGTGTGTACAAAAATTTTGTAAAAGCTTATGCAGTAATTATGTGTAATGTACATAGGCCTGCAAATTTGCTGTAATTATTAATTGAAACTTCACTCCATTTTTTTACATGGTTAATAATGTATTTCAAAGGAATTTGCTACACAAATTCAGAGATCCATCATGGCTAGTTTACATAGCAAGTTTTAGTGATTTACAGCCACGTACTTCATTTATGCATATCTGATTAATCATGTGTTAAATGTTTACTTTTTATCTACAAAAGAACCAAAAATAATGAACATGGTATTCTGTATTTGAAAAATCAAAATGTTTTCTCCTTTCAGACAAATTTTGAAAATCGGATGTACTCCTTAAAAGTAGAATGTGGTAACAAATATCCAGATGATCCACCAAATATTCGCTTTATCAGTCGAATCAACATGCAAGGAGTTAACAGCCAGACTGGAGTTGTAAGTATATTATCATATTTTTTCATGCTTTTTAGCCCCAGTGCTATTGCTCTTAAGTAAACTTCCATTAAACTTTATAAAATTCGTATAGCATAAGCCTCATTGAATTTTGAGCTTTCTCTTTCCAGTTTTGTAAATATAAACCAGTATCTTCAGTTAATATGAAGCATGATGTGTATTTGTCTTAAATGTAATCACCTCTTATAATTCAAAAATTTAAAGAAATTGCAAATCATAATTTCAGTATCAACTAAATACCATATTGGAATCTCTCTCATTTTTAAACTGCGTCTCGTGTTAGTTATAGATGGACATTGCCAAGTTAGAAGTGGAACTTAGGCAGAAACATTTTGGAAAACAGTATTCAGTGTATCTAGATATATTGTTCTTTAGTTTGGTCATTTGCATTGATGTCTCTACTGTTGCATATGGAATAGGTTTTCAAATCTGTCATTAAGTGATTGCTAATGGATTGATGGTATTGGCAATGGACCATATAATAAAGTTGTTGATAACTACTTGTATGGCTTTAGGTATCCTGCAACAAGAAGGAACATTTAATGGTTCAGATTGTTTCCTAGAAAGTATTTCTAGGATTGGTCTAGTTTTCAACACTGGTGTATGTTATCCAGGGAAAGGTTACACAAGTTACTGAGGTGTGCAGATGCCTTTGGTCAATTTTATGACCCAAGAAGTGTTTTGATTTCATGTCAAGGAAGAAAATTGAATGTAAACATACATAGGAGTAAGGTGATAAGGTTGTCAAACAAGTTAAGTAAAGAAAAAGTGGATATCAGATTGGAGGAAGGAAGTATGGAAGAAGTGACTGTGTTCCGATATTTGGAAGTAGACTTGTGAGCAGATGGGTTTATGAAAGATGATGTTAACCATAGAATTGATGAAGAAAAAAAAAAGGTGGGTGGTGCATGGAGATATCTATGGAGACAAAACATTATCTATGGAGGCAAAGGAGGAGATGTATGAGTATAGTTGTTCCAACACTCATGTATGGGTGTGAAGCATGGGTTTTGGATGCTGCAGCGAGGAGGAGGCTGGAGGCAGTAGAGATGGTGTCAAAGGGCAGTGTGTGGCATAAACATTATGCAGAGAATTTGTAGTGTGGAAATTAGGAGGAGGTGTGGAGTTGCTAAAAGTATTATTCAGAGGGCTGAGGAGGGGTTGAGGTGGTTTGGTCATTTAGAGAGGATGGAGCAAAATAGAATGACTTGGAGGGTGTATAAATCTGTAGTGGAGAGAAAGGAGTGGGGTCATCCTAGGAGAGGGAGAGATGGAATAAAGGAGGTTTTGTGTGCAGGGGGTTGGTACATACAGCAGGCATGTGTGAGCACGTTAGGAGTAAATGGAGACGAACAGTGTTTGGGACTTGAGCTGTTGGGGTGTGGGCAGGATAATTTTTGTGAAAAGGATTCAGGGAAACTAGTTAGCCAAACTTAAGTCCTGGAGGTGGGAAGTACAATGCCTGCACTTTAAAGGAGGGGTTTGGGATATTTGCTGTCGTATCCTTTCAAGATTTGTGTAATAACTTGAACGCCTCTTCTGATTTGCTGTAACTTTTAGCATTGATGTACCTTACTTATAGGAAGGTTCAGAGTGTGACTGGGATGTGTGGGTTCCACTTTGGCAGTTTAAAGTTCATATGGTGCAGAGAATTCGTAGTTTGGAAGTTAGGAGGAGGTGTGGGATTACCAAAACTGTTGTCCAGAGGGCTGAGGAAGGGTTGTTGAGGTGGTTCGGACATGTAGAGAGAATGGAGCGAAACAGAATGACTTCAAGAGTGTATCAGTCTGTAGTGGAAGGAAGGCGGGGTAGGGGTCGGCCTAGGAAGGGTTGGAGGGAGGGGGTAAAGGAGGTTTTGTGTGCGAGGGGCTTGGACTTCCAGCAGGCATGCGTGAGCGTGTTTGATAGGAGTGAATGGAGACAAATGGTTTTTAATACTTGACGTGCTGTTGGAGTGTGAGCAAAGTAACATTTATGAAGGGATTCAGGGAAACCGGCAGGCCGGACTTGAGTCCTGGAGATGGGAAGTACAGTGCCTGCACTCTGAAGGAGGGGTGTTAATGTTGCAGTTTAAAAACTGTAGTGTAAAGCACCCTTCTGGCAAGACAGTGATGGAGTGAATGATGGTGAAAGTTTTTCTTTTTCGGGCCACCCTGCCTTGGTGGGAATCGGCCGGTGTGATAATAAAAAAAAAAAAAAAAAATAATAAAAATGGTGCAGTGGTTTCATTGTTTAGTTGGGAATTGGCATTTCTGATCTTCACTTTTAGCACAGATATTATACAGGTCTCCCTCAACATTCACGAGGGTTAGGGGATCAAGAGCCTCGCGAATGTTGAAAAACCGCGAATGTTTGGTGCCCCAATATATTGTAGGGAAATATAATACAATACTGCTTCCTTAACTTGTCGAACCATGAACAATCATAAAATACATGAAAACGTCGTAAATTGTACTAAATACGTACATACATTATGGCTTAATAACATGTATGTTATTAAATACCACTGCCTCCACCACTGTGAGTCCCTACTACCCTCCCTCTGACCCCTCACAACTGGCAGCCAGCCCTCCCACCACTGTGTGGTGAGTGTTTTGTTTGTTCATTATTTGCTATTAAACTACAGTATAAATAATGTCAACCCATTTACGACTGCATATTAGAATGGCTATTCGGACAGGTATTGGAAGGTGACATCATGTGTTTACTCTTGAACATAGCAAAGAATCAAACATTTGTGCTACTGCTAATAATAATAATAATAATAATAATAATATAATAATAATACAATAGAATTGGAGAAGGAAATTGTACAAAAATACGAGGGATGAAGCAGTGGTGGAGGAAGTGGTTGACGCAGCGTCAGTGTGGCTTTGTTTATGCTGGAGTGAGTATTAGTCTCCGTGCTCTTCCAAACATTTCACAATAATTCATTGTATTTGGTGCTTGTAGATTGAGTGTGACTGGAGTGGTTGAGGCAGTGTGTGAGGCAGTGGTATTTACTAACATGTGTTATAAATAATAATAGTACATCTTAATATTAATAACATTTATAATACTAATAATAATAAATGTTATTCATAATGTACTATTATTATTTATAACATTTTTTTTTTTTTTTTTTTTTTTCAACAAGTCGGTCGTCTCCCATATGTTAGTAAATACCACTGCCTCTACCACTGCCTCTACCACTGCCTCTACCACTGCCTCAACCACTGCCTCAACCGCTGCCTCAACCGCTGCCTCTACCACTGCCTCTACCACTGCCTCTACCACTGCCTCAACCACTGCCTCAACCGCTGCCTCTACCACTGCCTCTACCACTGCCTCAACCACTGCCTCAACCACTCCAGTCACACTCAATCTACAAGCACCAAATACAATGAATTATTGTGAAATGTTTGGAGGAGCACAGAGACTAATACTCACTCCAGCATCAACAAAGCCACACTGACGCTGCGTCCACCACTTCCTCCACCACTGCTTCAACCCTCGTATTTTTGTACAATTTCCTTCTTCAATTCTATCGTATTTATTATTATTATTATTATTGTATTAATATTATTATTATTATTATTATTATTATTATTAGCAGTAGCAGAAATGTTTGATTCTTTGCTGTGTTCAAAAGTAAACACATGATGTCACCTTCCAATACCTGTCTGAATAGCCATTCTAATATGCAGTCATGGATGGGTTTACATTATTTATACTGTAGTTTAATAGCAAATAATAAACAAACAAAACACTCGCCACACAGTGGTGGGAGGGCTGGCTGCCAGTTGCAGGGGTCGGAGGGAGGGTAGTAAGGACTGGCGGTAAACTTAAATATGATTTGGCGGTTGGGAATTCGCGAATGTGTGAAGCCCGCGAAAATTGAAAACGCGAATGTTGAGGGAGACCTGTACAGATATTATATTAGCAGTTTGGAGGGATGTGTTGTGTATCTTTATAGGTATATGCTTCTAAACTGTTGTGTTCTGAGCACCTCTGCAAAAACAGTGATTATGCGTGAGTGAGGTGAAAGTGTTGAATGATGATGAAAGTATTTTCTTTTTGGGTCACCCTGCCTCGGTGGGAGACGGCCGACTTGTTAAAAAAAAAAAATATACTTTAATATTGTTTGGATTGTTATTGGAGTGTATAGGTGCCCATTTTTATCTAAAGTGGAGTATTATTGGGGAATGTTTTAGGTTTAGAATGCAGCTTATAAGTTGCTTTAATCACTGGTGCATTTGTCTATAAGGAAGATTCATAGTGTTAATAGGCTGTGTTATCCCTGATTTGTCAATGTAAACCCATTCAGAATGAAGAGATAATGTTAATGAAAACCAGTTGGTGCTGGGATTGGCTGATCACTAGTTTATAATGCATATAGCTAATTACTGGTTGACTGTTGTGGCTTGTACACAAATTTTCTCAGACCAAAAAGAAACTCAAAGCTAGGGAAACTTAGTTTAGTTCCCATATAATTAATTTTTAACAAGTTTTTTGATCCACTTCACTCTTCAACACTGATGCTTAATTGAACTACAAACTTGTTTTCTTCTCACAACAGTTAGAACCCATGGTGAGGCAGTTCTAAAACTAGCAAGCCAGTGCATTAACCACTGTACCATATTGGATGAGGTTTGAACCCCATTCATTCTGCAAGATTACAAATGTACAATGGACCCCCAGTTTTTGTCCGCTGCAGAAATCGTACAATTTGGATTTCAAATACTTTTTTTTTTTTTTTTTCATACATCTGCTCGGAAATCGTCCATATCAGATGCATCCACCTGCCTGGGACACCACTTCTTACACTTACCAGACTCGGTCTGCCTCTCTCTTGTTGAGTTAGCAATACTCAGCTCGTTCATCCATTGTTTTTTGTGCTTGTTTATTGATTGTGACTGATATAACCCACCATGGGGCCAAAGAAAGCTCAGAGTGCCAGCCCTTTGGTAAAGAACGTGAGAAACACGATAGAGTTCAAGAAAGAACTTGTAGCAAAATATGAAAGTGGCGTACATGTGGCCGAGCTCACCAGGATGTATGGAAAGTCGACATCAACAATTAGTTCTATCCTGGTGAAGAAAGCAGGAACCAAGGGAGCTGATGTTGCGAAAGAGGTAAATAAGCTAACGAAACAGATCACAAACAATCGAGGATGTGGAGAAGCTATTGGTGTGGAACAAAACACCGTTAGTGGGAGATAGTGTTGTGGAGGGTTTTGATAAGGCTTTGATACCTGAAGTCCTTATGGAGAGGGATTCCCCTCCCAAACAATAACCTAACCTAACCTCTCGACCTACCTACCTCTCTACCTACCTCCCTACCTACCTCTCTCTCTACCTACCTACCTCTCTACCTACCTACCTGCCTTTTTTTTTTACATAGGGTTTGACAAGGTTAAGGATCCCTAGCTTTATTGACACGCTATTTACAGGTTAAGGATTCCTAACTTTATTGGCAAGCTAAGAGCTGTTACCTACATCAGCCTGTTTGAAAGCATTTTTATTGTTATGAGACATATCAAAATTATTTGGTGAACTGAAAGCGGGTGGTTAATGATAAACGTCTTTGGAGGCTTCTTACTTTATTGAAAATGTAGTGGTGGGTACACAGGCTTGTGTGTTGTGCCCATGGCCCGGGAGGGCCATCCCACGAGAGGGAACTAGTAGTAGGCCTTGTGTCTTCCTGCTAGGCCGCTGTGTGAGTGTGTGTGTGTGGGACCAGCTTCACACAGACCTGTACAGGCCCAGAGGGCAGCACTTGAGTGGCACGAAATATGAACTAAGCTGGCAGACAGCATGGGCTGTCTGTGCAGACAGGACAGGTTGCCTACATACGCTCAGCCACCTGCCATATGGTCGTCCCGACCATGTCTGGCGGTAAAAAAAAAACTCTCTCTCTCTCGTAGACATGGCACAGAACACAAAATAAAAAACATATGCACCTACCATCCGACTTATGACCGAGTTCGGTTCCGAGAAACCGGTCGTAAGTCCAAATGGTCGTAAGTCGAACTTTACTACTGAATATCAACAAAACATTTTTGTAATGACTATTTTATTGTTTTATTTTGGTATTTCATGTTTTGCTTTACTTTTTATGCTCTTAGTACTGTATTTTATACTGTAAGGTTTAGGATAAACACTGTGTACAACACAAATAGTTGTTTATTTCCCAGAAATTTGGCAAAAAAAACACGGTCGTAAGTCGAGTGGTCGTAAGTCGAGCAGGTTGTAAGTCGGATGGTAGGTGTATATAAATATGGACATGGAAAAAAAAACTTACTACAGGGAGGGAAGAAAAAAACATCTCTCTCTACCTCTCTCTCTCTCTACCTCTCTCTCTCTCTACCTCTCTCTCTCTCTCTCTACCTCTCTCTCTCTCTCTACCTCTCTCTCTCTCTCCTCTCTACCTTCTCTACCTCTCTCCCCTCTACCTCTCTACCTCTCTCTCTCTCTCTACCTCTCCTCTCTCTCTACCTCTCTCCTCTCTCTCCTACCTCTCTCCTCTCTCTCTCTCTCTCTCTCTTACCTCTCCTCTCTCCTCTCTACCTCTCTCTCTCTCTCTACCTCTCTCTCTCTCTACCTCTCTCTCTCTCCTCTACCTCCCTCTCTCTCTACCTCCTCCCCTCTCTACCTCTCTCCTCTCTCTCTACCTCTCTCTCTCTCTCTCTACCTCTCTCTCTCTCTCTACCTCTCTCTCTCTCTCTCTCTACTCTCTCTCTCTCTCTCTCTCCTCTCTCACTCTCTCTCTCTCTCCCCTCTAACCTCTCCTCTCTCTCTCTCTACCTCTCTCTCTCTCTCCTACCTCTCTCTCTCTCTCTAACCTCTCTCTCTCTCTCTCTACCCTCTCTCTCTCTACTCTACCTCTCTCTCTCTCTCTACCTCTCCTCTCTCTCCCTCTCTCTCTCCTCTCTCTCTCCTACCTCCTCTCTCGTCTCCTCTACCTCTCTCTCTCTCTACCCTCTCTCTCTACCTCTCTCTCTCTCTCTCT